CCCGAATCCCTAAACCCTACACCCTAGCCTTCGATCGGTGGATTTGCACGCTTTTGGCCAGCAGGTGGCATCCAGGTCATGGAGCCCTCTTGGGCCACTTCGGCAAGGTTAGGTAGGGTTTTTAGGATGTTTAGGGCTTTTAGGGTTTTTGAAGTTTTAAGGGCTTTTCGGGTTTTTAGGATTTTTAGGGTTTTTAGGGTTCTTAGGGTTTTTAGGGTTTAGTGGAACGACCTACCCCAGGCATTGAGGTGTAGTGTACCCCGAAGCCAGACTTTAACACTCAAGGCTGTTCTATTCGGTTCATTGGACTTGCTTTTTCGATTCACTGGTTCGGGCTCAAAAGAGCTGCCATTGCCATCGCTGCCATGGTGTGCTTTGACTGAGTTTTAGGGTTTAGAGTGTAGGGCAGTGTAAGGCTAACGCAGCCTGATCCGTTCCGCCATGCTTTCAGCAAACGCGGATGTGTGGAGATGACGCCCTAAGCCTAAACAAGCCAAGCTTGAAGCAATGAAAAACCCTAAAACCAAAGCTCCGTTAAATCCAAACCCTAAACAAGCACAGGCAAACATAAAGCCACACCTTTCAACATAAACCCTCAACTCTCCGACCCCCCAAAAAACCCAAGCCTTAACCTGGGCCCTAAACCCTAAACCCCTAAACACTAAACCCCTAAACCCTAAACCCTAAACCCCAAACCCCAAACCTTTAACCCTGAACTTTAAACCCTAAACCCTAAACCTTAATCCCTAAACCCTAAACCCTAAACCCGAAACCTCAACAAGGCGAACCCAACTACGGCCTCGGCCTGAGTCTTTTCTCTCGGACTCGCGCTGTTGTGGGTTTAAGGTTTAGAGTTTAGCGTCCGGGCTTCATGGTTTAGGTTTCGGGCTTAGGGTCTAGAGTCTGGCGGTCTGGGGTTTGGGGTGTCTTGTCCTCAATGTAGACAGCACATCTTTGGGCATTAGGCGGAGGGTGCATGGCCTGTGTGCTGCTACAGATTTCCGGCCTCATGCGCTTCCGTGAAGGTCCTTGAGATCCGCCAACCGAAGTGGGCATTCAATTCGATCTCTGATCTCGCACTCGCTTTGCCCAGCGAGCGGTAGGCTAGACTCATAAGACCCCTCACCCCCGAAAGTACAATCTCGTATTTGCTATGCCGCTGCATGTGAGCCCCTCAGGTGGACTCCATCCGCCGGTTTGGTGGCTCCACGTCACCGACCATGCCTTGGCCAGAGGATGAGAAGATGTACAGCGAGGAGGACAGCATATACAAACAGGTGAGTAGGTCGAGCAGGTTTTGTATATACTCACATGAATTAGAAATATATATATATATATATATACATATATATATATATACATATATATATATAAAATTATTATAATATATAACATATAGTATAATATATAAAATATAAAATATAATATATAATATATAATATTATATAATATATAATATATTATAATATATAATATATAATATATTATAATATATAATATATAATATATTATAATATATAATATATAATTTATTATAATATATAACATATAATATATAATATATTATATATAATATATAATATATGATATAATATGATACAATACAATACAATACAATACAATATAATATAATATAATATAATATAATATAATCTAGCTCATTGAAGTATTCTCGTTTCTGCCATGGGGGCTGAGGTCCTTCGCTCCGAGAAGTGTCCCGCTGGCAAGTCTGCAGCTCACACGCACAAGAGCAGAACCGAAGTTGGTTTAGGGAGTAGGGTTTAGGGTTTAGGGTTTAGGGTTTAGGGTTTAGGGTTAGGGAGTAGCGTTCCTGCAACAGAACCCACATCCCTTTCCTGTGACTTCTATGCCTGCTTTTGTTGTATAGCATCGCATAATACAGTTTATAGTATAGTATATAGAGTATATAGTACAGTATAGTAAAAGGGATATTCGGACATGATATGTTACTGGCTCATGGCAAAGCTGCCGAGCCCCTCCCTCCGGCTCCCCTGGCTCCGCCTCACAGGCGAAGGGGCCCTGGCAAAGAAAACGGATGCGAGGGTGGGTACTGTAGAGGCCTTAATAATTCGAATGAGGTCTTGGGCAGTATAGACGTTATAGTAAGGACCTATAATGAGGAACCCTAACGAATGATATTGGTAAGCAGTTAGGCTTGAATATATGGTAGGTTGCTGGCAGAGGACTACATAGCTAAGGCCATGCCAAGCCCACTCTGTATAGCGAGGAGTTGGGCGCCACCACCGTCACAAGCAAGAAAATCAGGATCCCAAGACCAATCGTCGATCCGACCTCAGCAGTAGACTTCCAGCGGTGTGCTACGGGAGAGCCTTGTTGGAATACTTGCAGCTGCACCTAATCGGCCTTTGCGGTTTCGTCCCTGTTTTGCCGTGAGAGGCGTGAAAATTAGTGTAGTCGACTGGAAAGGAACAACAACATGGGGTACTGTGCCTTACATGCATTTTCCACAGCCCCATTGGCCTCATCCTATCTTTTGGGCTCTGCAAGGACCTCGAGAGTGACAGGACGATGCAGCAGTGTGTAAACTGCCCAGTTCAGCGCCCTCGTCCACTGGAAACTACCACAGAGTGACGATGTAAAAACAATTCCAAAATGCTCCCGCTCCATGAAGCTGAGGACTTCTGAAGGTACATGCCCACACGGGCCGAATGAACTTCGGTAGGCAGTGTCCTCCCTCCCGGCTAAGTTTATATAATGCGATCTAAGACCATCAACAATATATATATATATATATATATGTTTATATTTATCGCAAAGCAACGAAAAGCTTCTATGCAGTCAGCCTGGATAACACCTGGGACCTAGGATTGGGACATGCATCTCAGGCCTGAAAGCAGTAAAGCCCTCAACACCGAAACCATATGCTGAACAGCTCAGGCGGTGGCTGCGGTCATTAGGGACACCCTGCAGGGTGCAAAAGCTTTCAAGACTTCTGGGATTGAGGAAGTTGGGGCTGCATCAGGGTCCCAGTTTGAATGGCAAAAGCATCCTCAAAGTAGGGAGTGCGCAACTGCACTTCTACGCAGTGCTAAACATGGTGGTAGAATAGTTCTGCGCAGTGCTACCGTATTTCATGGTGCTACTTGCCGCTAGGTCGTGCTAAGCAAGACTTCGGTCGTCTGGCTGAAAGTCCGGACGGTAGACAATGCCAGCAAAGTTGGCGCAAGTGTCGACCTATGAGGCTTCCATGGTCGCAAGGCAACGAAGGCTGGACCCTGAGCCCCTAATTTCAAATCATGAACCCTCAGCCCCTCTTGAATACAGCTTAACCCTTAAGCCCGAAACCCCTAAACCCAAGTTCCGGCCAGCGCCTGGCGACCTGTGCTTCTTGAGGTAGGCTGTCGCGCACCGCTTTCGGCTTGCAGTAGTGCATGCCTTGAACGGGATCCAAGAAGTTCACGATTTCAACCCTAAACTTGGGGACCCCGGGCCAAGGTGGTCGCAGAACGTCGGTTGTAAGGGTTTAGGGTTTAGGGTTTAGGGTCAGGATCTGTGATCCTTAGCCTGGGGCTTCTTAGACAAGGTTTGCCATCATGATGCCACTTGCGTGTGTGCAGGTCTGCTGGCACAGGCTGAACCCTGAACCCGAAACCCTGAACCCAAAGCCTTCTAGCCGCAGGCTGAACGCTGAACCCAACATCCCTCCCTGCCGCGCCTGCAACGACAAACCAAAACAGCGGACCAACTGAGCCAAAGCAAAGGCAAAGGAAGCAGCCTATCGCGTACCTTGGGTGCTGGCAGATCAGGGTTTCGGCGCTCACACTCGGACAGTCCAGGCGAGGCATGTGGTTCGAGGTCCGCTGAGAAGTGAGACAAAAGCAATCTCGAGATTCCAAAGAGACACAGGGCCATAAAGATTACGCTCACACAACTCGGACAAGCCAGGCGAAGTCTCACGGGTTTGAGTCGGCGTGACACCTGCAACAAACCGCCTTTCAAGTGTCACGCCGACTCAAACCTGTGAGCCATAAAGACTAGGGTTTAGGCTCTCGAACTCCGACTCCTCCAGACGAGGTCTCTATGTCCCACTCCAAAGTGACTACACATCGAGCTGGCACTGCTAATTAAGGGTGGGTTTTGGGGTTTGGGGTCTACCCTGAACCTTATACACTTACTCCAGACTGCTTCAGAATCTGGGAGCCGGTATTCCCGTGTGGGCCTGCACAAAATCCCGGGTGAAATCTGCAATTGTATCCTGCATGGGAACTGAAATCTCCAGCTACCCTTTGATGAGGTTGCGCGTGGGGATATGGATCCTCTCAATTCAACACGAAGTGTCGCACCTTTATCGGCTTCTTTGACGGGGCGGGGTCGCCTCGCAAACAAACAAACACTGCAGCGAAGATGTCCGCTCTAAACCCTAAGCTTTCCCTTATGCATGCCCTTTCCGTGAAACGCAACCCTACACCCTACGAGGCCCAAATCGAAGCCCCATGCAAATCATTGCCATCCAGACCACAGCATCCAGCCGGTGCCTGCTCCTGTTTCAGGGCTTAACTGAAGGCGTCCAGTCCGGCTTGCCAGGGTGAGACTATATAAAACGGCATAGAGGCTTTCGAGCTTGGGGTTTAGGGTAGAGGGGCATAATGGAGAGTGTTATGTACTAGAGTACCAGAAGTACAGAACAAGAGTGCTCCAGGTGCTTCCAACAGACAGAGTTTAAGGTACTACCCGGTCCTTGGCCTACGGCTGTAGCCGCTGTAGCCACGGCCGTATCACACTTAAGCCAGGGCTTCCGATGGCAAGTCCTAAACCCCTTGGCCCTACTTATACCTCTAAATTAGGGTCCCTTTTAGGGTCTCGTCTTCATACAGGGGTGCCGCACTAATTGGGGATGTAAAGAGGGATCCAAATGTAGAGAACTACCCATAAACCCTCATGGTCCAAACAGAATCCCTCCTCGCTCGTCCACTGTAGGCGGTCGGTCGTCCCAAGCCCCCCCATAGCCGCCATAGCCACCATAGCCAGGACCAAGGCCATCATTCCTTTCTGCGGTCATGGGTCGTGCGTTGGTCAGTGCTGTTGTTTCTTCTGCCCCCAGATCACCACAAATCAACCTTTAATATAGCGGGCATTATCAGCTAGAACACTAAAGCCCTCATTTTGACAGGGTTGATGCAAGCCAAGAGTCGCTACAATTTGGTGGCCAAGTCTTGTCACGAAACCACTTTTCAAAAGAAGAAAAAGAACCGGGCAGTGAACTGAACAGTGATGCGTGTGTCGGGGTTCCCTGTGTCAGGAGTGGCCGGAAACTGTGTCCGGAGCGAAACGGGGCTGTGCGCGGAACACCACAAGAAAAACATAATGTCGAAAACCATCTTGAGTTTGTCGACACGATGGTTTACCGCGATTTGCGGCCGTTCTCTGTACAGGCGGGAAAGAGCCTGCTGTAAGTTGTCGACAGTCTCACTTCTAGCTCTGCAGCTCTTTTGCTTCACCGATAGTTTTGCCTTCCTACATGACATGCTCTTGCTACTTTAACCCCCTCAATCCAGAGCCGCAGTCTGTATAGAGCTGGCCGTCCTCATAGTCACTACCAGGAACCCCCCCATATGTGCAGGCACAGCTGCACGTAGATTGGCTGGCCGATAACCTCGGCTTAGAAGCATGAAATACCCTCACCCTCCAGGTACCTACTATATAGGGCCCCAGGGACACTAGTACCCTATATAGTAGGTACCTGGGGGTTAGGGATAGGCTCATCCAGGCCCCCATGGGCTTCCGGAACCCATCCTCAAGCCCAAAGGCCCAGCTCCGACACGCAAGTGAAGCCGATTCCAGACCTTCTCGGCAGCTGGGCACTTATCTATAGTCTCCATTGTAGTTCCTTTTTTTGGTTAGTTTAACCAAATATATATCAAGGATTTTATAAGGTATCTCCAAAAAGGAACTACAATGCAGACTATAGGTAAACCGAGACTCGAAAACCTGGCGCCCCGGAGCCCTAAGCTGGACCTGAAGCCAAGGTCAAGAGGCCTGGGTGGTGCCAATGGGCTGGCCCATCTGGATCCCATATCCTTTCAAGTTTCACAACTTGCTTCGGTGCGTCTTAACGCTTAGGCTTTTGCAAGTGGGGAGTTGGAGTTGAAGGCTTACATGATGTCGCGGTTTACAGATTTTAGGGACATCTTATAACCCCCGCTCAGACACACCTTCAAACCTGAATGAAGCCATCAGAGTCAGAACCCACTGACAACCTCTCAGCTGCCACTTAAGG